GAGTACCCTATGCCTGCCTACACCCAAAGTAACGAGTGTGGGCGTAAGACATGGGAAAGTATTCCCAATATAGGGAAACAGACCACTGAACTTTCAAAAGTTCCCCAGGGTCCTGATGAGCCTTTTCAGGACTTTGTTTTTCGATTGCTTATTACAGCTGGTCGCATCTTAGGCAACTCTCCTAATTTCTTAAGCCCAAAAGATCAGGCTGAGTTAAAAAAGAAAGCAGCCAAATTCCATCGGAGTTATTTGGACTTTCTCTTTCATGAAAGACCTCCTTGAATGAATTGCAACTTTAATAATGAAAGGTAGGAGAAAAAGCTGAGAGTTATTAGAAAAGATTTCTCTAAAATCATCAGTCATTCTACCCCAGACTAAATAACCACTTTTTTGCAGGACAATGCAGATTGGCAAATTGCCTTGGAAATTTTTTCGGGACAAACTCTATCCCACCATCCCAGTAACCCCTTGCTTCAATTTATTAATAAACATTCTGTTGTTTTCTCTTTGCAGATTCTCAATAAATCTCTCCCTGAACCTGTTCATGCAGTTTTGGCTAACCGCCAAGCTATGCAGCAAACCGCGAAAACTTTGGCACAGAAGACAGAAGTTGATTGCTGTTATTTTTGCTGTTAATCTTCCGGTAACAAACCTCCCTTTATCTGCTTTCTAATTCTTATAGTCTACATGTGTTACTTACTAACCAAGGGGCGAAGATATAGTCTTTTTTACAGGACACAAACAACCCCATATGAATTCCAGACCGACTAATTCGACCCTATGGCGAAAAGACAGCCATTTCCCACTCCCCAAAGCATAGAAGCATTCACTGAAGAACCATCTGAAAGTGTGTCTCCACCAGCACCACCTCCAGGCTCCAAAAGCTAGACTTTTAATTTCTCCCCTCCAACGTCTGTCTCTGCAAAATCAAGCAGACTGCTTTAACCTAGGAACAATTGAAGTGCTTAACGGAGCATGCTGTGAAAACTGTTAACTCTTAGAGAGCTGAGACAACTCCAGAAACTCTTTTTTGTTGCTATGCATGTAATTCTTGCTTGTCAGATATCAGGAGTAACAGCTAACAACTTCACTCATTAAACTTACGTTCCAAATTTTGTAAATAATTCTCAATTGTTGGGAAGTCAATCAGAAGTCTTTATACTAAATTCC